TGCACGAATCTGCGTGGAAGTATCAACGAACTGTTCTGAAGAGCAGCGAACAAACATACATTCTTGTTGACCCAGCGCAAAGCAAAATCTTGATCAACTTCAGACGTGTATTAGCACAAGTTAACACTGGAAATAACGACCCGGGACGTACGCAAGCCAGCGTTGAGAGCACCGTTGTCTTTTATTTCTTGACCCGCGAGGAAGCCTTTGAAAGCCGCGTAAGTTTGAAGTTACGCTTTGGGTTGTGAGGTTTACCGAACAGTCCGAGTCGGTATTGAAGGACAACGACGACGACTTGGTTGTTCGATTCCTGGACGATCTCGGCGCCGTTGTAGTAACTTGCGCCTCCCAGGGCATATCTAAAAATTACGTGCCGCTTAATAAATTGGGTCGCACAGCACAAGACAAAAACAATTACCCTCCGCCGTGGATCCAGACGATCGTCGGCAAAGGCACCGTCGAGTTCACAGCCGGCGAGTAAACGCTACAGGTTTCATTTGGATACATACTTCTATCAGTGAAGTGAATAGTTCTGGCGACGAACCTGAGGAACAGGCAGTCTTCGGACTGTTGGACGTCTCGAGCACTAAGCGGGTTACTTTGACCCGTGCCCTCCGCGCCTTGCAGGCACAGCGGAGGGTCGTCAGACGCCTGCTGAATCCCTGCGATCTTGGGCGGCGGAGTAGGTGCGTGCCACCGTAACGGTCCTAAGTTCAAAGCCGCGACGTCGATTTCGGCTTGTGGGCAGGTTCAGCGGATGCTCGTGCTTACCAGTGGGTGCGGCAGCGTAGCGGATACCGCGGAAGGCGGTAATGTCGAGTGTCGTGTCCACGACGCCCTGGTACCGCGCGTAGCCTAGATCGACGACTGGACCGCTGGCGTCAACGGCGCGAATGCAGGCTACAAAGAGAAGAGCCGCGTGCACGAAATCATGAAAGAGAGCCATGGTAGAGTAGGTCCAATGTCATTGAGAGCAGGATTTAAGAGATTATAAACCCGCCCAACGGGTGAACGGCGGGCGGAGGATTCGAGTTTAGCCGTTTAACCGCCCGCTCCAGGATGACTGAGATGGGTAGCGAGCTGCAAATCCAGAATGACCACGAGAGTCCGTGCAGCGGGTTTCAAGGGCTTCCGTAGACTGAAAAAGCAGCCCGGGCTGTAGGGTTCGGTGAATAACTCCCAGAGGCCGTAACATTTGTTAATAACAGTGAGCAACTGGGCGAGGGTTATTCACGCATGTTAGTAACATTTTTGTTATTAACTGTTATTAACATGTAAATAATGATTATTCACATTGTGAATTACTCTGAGCCAGTGAATAACTACGAAACAGCGGTGCAATGCACTTTACCAGTCCCAGTCCACATCCTGCACATCCTCCCTTGCCGCGGGAGTGGCCGACGCCGTCTGCTTGGGGATAGTGGATGTGTCGATGGAGGATTCCGGAGCGACGAGATCGAACAAAGCAGGCGTTGCGATATTGATGTCGGGATCAACAACGAATGAAAGATCCAATGCCGGCGGGAGTGGGATTGAGGCCGGAAAAGCAGCATCCTCAACATCTTCAGGGTCTACTGCATCCTCCTCGTCCGAGTCCGAGTCCGAGTCTCCACTCGCCGCTTTACTGTGCAATTTCGTTCAATTCGGCGGTCACGCGTCACGCACCCCCTGTGCCGCGATGAATTTTGGTCTCGGTCACGGGTCACGGCGCCCAGTGCCGAACGTAAAATGCGTGACACCAGGGCCAAATCTCCCTTGGAGGTGCAAAAAAGGCAGAATTTTCGAAAAAATTTGTCTTGAATGCCGAATTTTTGCAGGTGTCACGCCAAAATTTGTTGGTTGCCGAAGTGCCGAATCGGTATTTTGGGTCACGGGTCACAACCCATGCCGAATTGAACGAAATTGCACAGTATCGCGATTCTGGATAACCTCAAGAACACTTTTATCGATGTTACAGAACTTGACAACCGGCCAATATGTCTCTTTCTTTGGCGACTCGTTGGCCTGAGATGTAAAAGAGTTCGCGAGTCGACGCGTCGAGCGAGAAAAAATTACACGCGTTGCATCACTGATGTGACATCTCACGTTTCGGACGTTTCGGCTTCTCCGAAACCTGCCAGCGCCGCACGCAGTTCAAACGCTGGGGCTTTCCCTAAGCTTGGGGGTTATTCACAGTTGTTCATACCATTTCTAAGGGTCTTTTGGTGGGCTGTGTTAATAACTGTTATTAACTGTTATTAACATGATGTGAATAACTGATGTTAATAACATCCTAGTTGTTCACCGAACCCTACCGGGCTGAGTCAAGTATGTACTTGAACATGGGCCGTGAACCAGCGAGTTATGACTCGGAGTTTCAACTGTTTGTAGGGCCCGAGGTTGGACACGGGTCAACACGCGGGTGTTGGGCTTCCCGCCCGTACTCGTACCCGTACCCACCGGCGTACCCGGGCTCGCAGATTGACAAAACATGGCGCTGAGTAAGAGTTGAACATAACGGAAGACCGCAAGTTGAACTGATCGGAAGATGGTATTCCGATCTGTCTGACCTTAACCCCAGCCAAAAAAATATGTGGGGGCGGGTGTGAGAACGACTCGTAGCTATACAGCTATACAGATGCAGGCCGGCGGAGCTGGAGCTGTGACCTTCGTCCACAATGCTCCTCCAGAAGGTATATTATTATTCCTTTCTTTGACTTGTCCTTCTCATTCTTGCTTCAGACCATGACCTCAAACGCCAATACCTCGCCCTCCTACCTCCCCAGCAGGTCATCGACATCTGCCTCACCCTCGACATCCATGTCCCCGTAGCGCTGAAGCGCAACATATGGCCCACGGACTTCAAGACCGTCATCGCCTCCATGCAAAACCTCGTTCCAAAAGTCGAGGAAACCTCAACCCCCATTCCGTCGGCGAATGGGACGTCCAATCCCCCACGTGCAGAGGACCAGCCGTCGCAGCCGTCCACTGAGCCCCGGCCGCCCGAGCAGCAGCCTGTTGCAGGCCCGTCGAGGCCGACTCCGGCCCCCACCCCTGTGCCGCCGTACGGGTTCCCCGCGCAGCCCGCGTACCCACACACGCCGTACTACCAGGCCCTCCCGCCCGGCTTCGCGCCCTACCCATACCCGTACACGCCGCCGCACAGTGGTTTCCCGCCCGGTGCCTACCTGCCGCCGCAGCCGTTCCCGGCCTCGGCGTATGCGCAGCCGCACGCGTTCACCGAGACCACCCTGCCGCCCACGCCCTCGGAGGACACGGACCTCCCCAGCTACGAAGACATGATCGTCGAGGGGCTGGTCGCGGTCGATGACCCGAACGGGATGGCGCCGAAGGATCTGTTCAACTGGATGGCTAACCGCTATCCGGTGCAGTCGAACTTCCGCCCCTCGGCCAGCCAGGCATTGCAGAAGGCGTTCCGGCGCGGACGGTTTCAGAAAAGCAGCGACGGGAAGTATCGTTTAAATCCCGCTTGGGAGGGCGGCAATGTAAGTGCTCTCCTCTCTTTATATTTTCGCGCCGTTTCTGATCGCTTGACTAGTCATCGACGCGTCGCGCAACTCGCCGGCCGCAGACACAGAACGCTATCCCGGCAGCACAAAAGGCGCGCGCAGCGGCCGCCGCCGCCGGTTCTTCCTTCACCCCCGTCCCCCGCCCCCAGCAACATCCCATCCACCCTCCCCTCCCGACGCCCCAACCATCCCCCGCTCCCGTCGCCTCCACCAGCCAGCTCGCCCCTGCCCGTCCCACTCCCGCCCCCACAGAGGCGCCGAAACCAGCAGTGTTGCCCCCCGCAGAAGCACCCACCCCGACGCCCGCTGCCCCCGGCCCCGGGAGCGCAGCGTACGCGGCGGCGCAGAACATTCTGCAGACGATCAACTTTGGTGGGCTGTTCAAGCTGGAGGACGACGAGCAGCGGCGCGGGCTGCTGTCGCCGGTGAAGAGCGAGCCGGTGACGATGTCGCTCGCCGACCATGCGCGGGCGGAGCTGCAGGCGCAGCTGGCGCTGTTGTCTGCGCAGTTGGAGGAGATTGCGCAGCAGGAGGAGAAAGAGGCGCGGGAGGAAGAGGAGGACTGTGATATGGAGGAGGTGACGGCATGAACTCGGTTTTGTAGAGCGCTACTGTATCATCTAGCATTATTTACTCTGCTGAATCTACTTTGCTGAATCTTGGGACTGCACTGGATACACTGGGGAAAGCAATCCCTATCAAGATGGTAAGCAACACTTAAAGCAACAGTAGTTAATTCAGTAGACTAAAAAAAATGAAATTTTACTTTCATTGTCAGCAAAGTATGAATGAGATGAACTCCAGGAGCCCAGTCAGAGGTGAAAGAAACACTGTATTCAAAATTGCTGAAAGACGAGCTGTCTTGAAACAAAGAGTTTCATCTTAAAAACGAAGGAAAAATTGATGACACTCTTTGTTTCAAGACAGCTGAAAGCATCGCCGAAACAAGTTGTCTCAATGTGTCTTTCAGCAGTTTTGAATAAGTACAGTGTTTCTTTCACCTCTGACTGGGCTCCCTAGAGTTCATCTCTCAGCAGACTCTGTCGCTCTAACATTTGGGGAAAGGTTACGTATCGAAGGAAAATTTTTGCAAAAGTTTTTTGATGGACCGAGTGTGGGACCCGTTTAGCTCGGATTTCTCCAAAATTTGGCGTAAACGAAGTCATACAGACGAATCCCATGCTTGAATATTTTCAGAGTGAGGCATGCAATGTGGAGGATGCCAGGAGGTTCCCGAGACGCCTGTACCTTTGCAAAATTGATGAATTTGGTGGGCCATCATTTTTGATGGACTGCATCAAACAGCCGACTCTCGATTTTCCTGTGGTCTCAAATGCTGCTGTTTGCCTGCAGAAATATTTGGAATAGTCAAAGGATTATGTATTTGCTCTTTACTTTCTTTATAGCACAATTGACGCAAAATTGAGATCGTTAGATCAAATTTTGCAAAGGTACCGCAATCTGCAAAGATACCCCTTTGACAGTACCATCGGCCGTCTAGCTCAGTTGGTTAGAGCGTCGTGCTAATAACGCGAAGGTCTTGGGTTCGACCCCCACGATGGCCATAGATGAGCATAACATGGTGTTTTTTTGTCGCATGCGGGCATGCCTCGCTCTGTCGGTAGTCCACCGCCTCCCTCATCATTCTTTTGCGGTGCTGCACGCGCGCTCACCACTCACTCCCCGGCAACAAACCTAAGCTCCTCGTCGCCCACTTCTGACGACGAGTTGCTTGGCTGGTAGTGGGTGCAATAAGTTTTCCACCGACTGGAAGGTTTTTGACAAACCGCACCATCAATGATAATGATCGTTGCTGAGGCACGACAAATTAGTAGCATTAGGCGTTGGAGGAGGAGGAGGATGTATACCGGCGCGGTCCTGTTAAGAAACAGCCGGGGCCCATACTACATACAAGTGTCATTTGTATGCTACGGATACTCTCTTCCTTTCACCATTTCACAACCTGAGTACCCCCATCAAACACCTCCCCAGCTAGGTCGGTAATAAAAAAGAGAAAAAATACTGGTGGGATAGAGATGCATTCAAAGCCCCAGGGCGGCCTGGTGTTCAGAATTGAGTATGAGGGATTGAGATTTTACTGGTATTAATCCAATGTGCTGTATGTATATCCTGCAGGCCTGAATACTGGCGTAGTAGAATAATGAGCCAGTACCTCGTAAGTATATTTGGCTAATCACTGTATAATATTGAGATTCCGCGTCTGTATGAGATATTGTATAAAGTCGTCCATGGATGGCCACCTCCGAGGGATAGTGGGCAGCGTCGAATATATGTCAATGAAGAAGCAGTGCCTCATCTCAACAAGCGTGGGCGTGCTGCAAGCCAGTAGCGCGTGGCCCTCACTCTCTACATCGAGCAAGCATAGGCGGCATAACCTTGCATGCCTGGGGACGGGGGGCCTCAGTTGTTCCTGGTAGCGCAGCAGTTCAACTGCCAAGGAGTGGGAGGAAAGGAGGATGCACATCAGGGCTTTGCAGTGTGCTGGGACTGGGACCTGGAGATATAGGCGACACTTCATAGACACAGGTTTTAAGCTCCCGTCAGCGGTACACTCCACTCGGCCTTGTATGAGGGGCAGCCGTCCCGACATGCTGACAATTTTCTCTCCAATCCAGGTAGAGCAAGAGGCATTCAGGCAGTGTTTAAGGTCGGCAATACCGTTGGGGGTGAGGGAGTCCATGGACAGGAGGACGGGAACAGGGAGGTGAGATAGCACGTAGCACAAATCCAAGAGCCAGCACGGCAGGCCGTCCCGCGTGATCTGGACGGAGTCTCGGTAAACGATGCCGGCAATATGGGTTGGTGGAAGTGACATCAGGTGCACTAGATAACTGATAGCGAGGGACAGTTGCCTGTAGTGCAGGGGGATGATACCAGTCTTGGAAAATAGGATTGCGAGAACAGAGTGTCTGTTAAGGCCGAGGAGTCGGCACAGATATTCGTTCTGGATGTCCTCCAGCTTTGACATGTGGGTGTGAGTGACATCCAGGGCGACTTCACACCTGAAGGTGAGATGAGGGTCGATTCGAGTTTAACAACATCACAGTTCCTTGGACAAGTTCACGAGGGCACCATCATTGGTCTCGAGGCCACCCTTCATCGCTACCACCATAATGTATACAATGACCCTCAGCGTGTGGGTGCGAATAGTGAAATTGTCCCACGATTGACTTACTGTTGATAGGAATACAACATTGTCGTGCATCGCGTAGAGGTGGTGAATGTCCGCTACCTGCGCAACCTTGGGTTCATACAGGCAACCGCCGATATGGACGCGTGGGAGCCTGTCGTGTCGGTCTATTCCCCAAGTAATACCGAGCAGGTGGGGGGTCCTCAGTCCGAGATCATTGCCGAGGAAGAGGACGGGGGGGGGGGGGGGGGGGGGCAATATTTTAGTTGTTTATCTCTTGACTAAGGACAGGGCGGGATATGAGGGGGGAGAGATGAGAGCCATTAGCTTATTCAGATTACGAGACCATCCAGTGATATGCCATAGGTAGTCTAGCAGGACATGTAATAAAAAGAACATTTGAACGCCTATTGATGCCTCGAACACCTATTATCTACTCTGAAAACCTATTCTGTCTGATCAACAGCTATTCAAGAGATCACACGAACACCTATTGCTTATTCCAACAGCTATCCTGATATAAACATCAGTGAGCGGTTAGCGAAGCAGAATCAGTGGGGGCCATCCTCAACTTGCGGTTACAATGTCACAGTGAAAAACTCATTCAATATCGCAAAGGGTGAGGAGATTTGGAGGAGGGGCTGGGATTTCAACCCTTCGCAGAGCACATGGTCATTGGTGGGTGCAAATAAATTGTATCCAATCGGTGTAGATACAAACATATACTGCATAGGGAATTAACTATGCTACCGTAAGTGCATGCCATCGAGTGTCTGGGAGTAGATCCTGTGGTAATCGCTGTGACGCTGGCGCGTGTGTGAGTTCCACGTGCCTCAAAGCGCCAGCAGGGAGCTGGTCCCATGGACATTGCAGATGTCGAGCGGCAGCATGATAATTTCGCGCAGCTGCAGGCGGCACATTACACTCTTGCGTGAGGACTGGGTTGGTGTTTGTGGATAATTAAAACATCGACACACACCTTTGGGCTGTACAGTGGGGTGCCCAAAAAATGTGGGTGATTCCCTCTCTCCCTAATTACCTCATGAGAACCTTGTTCTCCATTGTTTGTGCTGCGCAGTGGACAGCGGTTTTTTCTCCCTATGCACCACGGCCATCTGTGTGTCGTCGTTGTGGGAGGAGGAAAGGAGTAATGTCACGCACTATCACACAAAGCACCGGCAAGTCGGCCAGTTCAAATTGATGTTAGGTGTTCAGTGGAAAATAGCTGTTCACAGACAAGATAGGTGTTGGATTGATGAATAGGCATTGAAATGGAAAATAGCTGTTGATTTGCAAAATACTAGGTGTGACGCAAAGTAACTGGATTTTCGGTGAAAACAGCCCAAAAAACTGGGTCACTCCAAATTTGTGGATCATATTTGCGATCTACTGTATTTTTTGAGTCCTGGAGGTATACAGCTCAGGTGCTGAGGATAATGTAGCCCATATAGTGTGAATATCCGAAAATCAGAGCTTTGTCCCTTTTGGGCTGATTTTGATGGCATATTGAACACTTTGAACACCCCAAAGGAGACTAATAGTAGGTAGGTAATGGTACAATAAGTTTTAGAACTGCAGGGGCTTTACATCCCGCTCCAGAAATAAATTAAAAATAGTAGGATATGACAGCTGATCACACAAATCAGAATTCCATCAACATTCTGCCCGGTGGCCGACTAAAATTCCCTGGGTTTTTTGCTCAATTTAACGAGGAAAGGTATACCTTCCATTGTACAACAAAGAAACCAAATATCACACCAAATGATACCTCAGATATACACAATTCCGGTAATATCCGGTTACTTTACGTCACACCAAGTAGGCATTCACGAATGCCTAATGATACTATTCTTGTATACTGTAGAATTTCATTCAATTCGGCACAGGTTGTGACCCATGACCCAAAATACCAATTTGGCACTTCGGCAACCAATGAATTTTGGCATGACACCTCCAAAGATTCGGCATTCAAGACGAAAAATTACGAAAATTCTGCCTTTTTTGCACCTCCAAGGGAGATTTGGCCCCAGTGTCACGCATTTTACATTTGGCACTGGGTGCCGTGACCCGTGACCGAGACCAAAATTCATCGCGGCACAGGGTGCGTGATGCGTGACCGCCGAATTGAATGAAATTCTACAGTAGTACAGTATACTCTCGTTGCTTCTTCAAGTTGTCATCGACTCGATCCGTGTCCTTTGTACACAATAAGAGTAAAATTTCATTTTTCTTGTCTACTGGATTAACTACTGTTGCTCACCATCTTGACCTAGGTCAAGAGATGTGTGCTCGGAGTAGATGTGATCTACAAATGATGGCGCGACACAGCCACTGATTGCCGCGGCACCGTCTCTTAATGTTGCTCAGTGCTGCGACGAAAAGCTCTCTGGCCGAAGTACTCGGTCTCGTGCAAAAGACGGTCTTGAATGCTGTTGGTCTTTTACAATCCAATCCGCCATATCTCTCTCATTCCACCAATTCAGGCCTCAGAGCTCGAAGATGAAGCCCAAGCTCAGGTGGCACGCATAGGCTCCGAAGCACACGAAGCTCGACGCGAACGCGACGACGCCCTCAAAGCACTCCATGCCGCCGAGCTCGTCGCCACCAGACACGAAAACGAGGTAAATACCGGACTCGACGCGCTTATCTGACTGCCTAAATGACATTTTACGCAGTTGTCTCAAATGCGTGCCACGGTTGGCATTGCTCGGATTGTAAATTGGGACTATTCACTGATGCAAGCACGGTAGATCGACGGTCTTCAGCGCGAGGTCGTGCACTGGGAAAGAGCAGGCCAAGAACTGGCAAGACCATTACACACGCGTCGAGCAGGACCGGTGCGGCCTATCCACCGAACTACTCACCGTATGTCCACCCTCTCCCATTCTAAATATCCTAATCCTAATCCGTTTTCAACTCAGCTATCGCGATCCGCCCTGACCGCGAGCCCGTCGAAAGTGGAGAGCCCGGAATATCCCAGTTCCGCCGTCCAACGCGCCTCGACCTCATCGAACCGTCCGCCGGCGTACAAGTCCGCCATCCCGCCCAGCCCGACGGAGCCCGACTCGCCGCTGCAGAGCGTCAGCGCAACGCAGCGGCAGCAGCAGCGGAATCTGCGCACGCCCGCGAAGCCCGCCGCTGTTAGGCGGCAGCAGCAAGGGCAACAGTCCGCGCCAGGGTCAGCACGGAGCGAGCGCGAGCTCCCGCCGTACCAGCCCGCCGACGGCTCGGCATCGGGCTCGTCGTCTTCCGCGGGGAAGCAGCAGCGCGCAGCGAAGACCAGCGCCGCGCAGCAGCAGATCCAGACGCCGTCCCAGCCCCCGCGGCAGATATTTGTGCGGCGCGTGCAGGCGGTGATTCACGTCAAGGAGGAAGACGGGGAAGATGATGGGTTTGAGGACGACGAGGAGGAGG